CACACACACACACTCACTCACTCACACGTGAAGCTAATACTAATTACTAAATTCACCAAACCCTAAAAGTAAAGTTCTTACAATTTTAGAACGACATTTATTTGATTTTTAATCATGTATTATTACTAAAATATTCATTTGATTGTTTGATTGATTGCGTCATTAAAAAATGATTTATTTTATTCATGAGTCATACCTTTATGTACGTCACAAGGGCGAGCAAGGCCTACAACAAATTATATTTTATAGATTAAAATAAACGTTTTTAAAAGATGCTTATGCTAATATATAAAATTTTATATAATGATTTATTATATATATATATATATTAACTCTCGTCTCTCTCTCTCATTAAGGTTAGTTAACTTTATTGAATTTCATGTCAAACTATAATTGACATGCTTTAATGTTCAAATAATTTGTTTCAGTGTATCATTTGTGTTATTAGTAATGTTAAGATACTTGTGTCATAGAGAAGTGCATTCATGTATCATTCATCCGAGTCATCAGTGTATTACTTGAATTACTTACCTGAGTTGTTAATCTGAGATATTTATAAGTCAGATGTGTGGAAGATTTAGAACATTTCTGTACATATGGTTATTTATTTGCTGACTGTGATTTGATTTAAATATCTATATCTGTTAAGGGAGTACCACATATATATACAGTGTCTATATATATATATATTTTTTTTTTAGAGCGTTTGCTCATCTGCAATCTATGGGACGTTTCCTATCAGATGTCAAATAGACGTTTCGAAGATGTCTTTAAGATGTTTATGATGTAAAACTGACATCTTAAAGACGTCTATCAGATGTTTGTCCACAGCAGATGCGTTCCAGATCTTTAACAGACGTCTTGCAGACGTATGTGTGCTATTTGGGTACAAGCATCTAATAGACGTCTTTAAGATGTCAGATTTACATGCATTCTAAATCATAAACATCTTAAAGACATCTTCTAAACGTCTTCTAAACGTCTATTTGACATCTGATAGGAAACGTCTGATAGAAGTATAGCAGATGAGCAAACACTCTAAAAATATGTCTTGCAGATGTAATGCAGACGTCAAATAGACGTTTGCATTACAATATTGCATTAGATTTCTCTTATCAATATTTCTTCTGGACGCATAAGGACATAATGAGATGTATTGATCATGTTGTTGAAGCAGCGCCACCTGTTGACATGAAACAGACTAAACAGAGTGACAGTCAATCTGAAATGTGTGCTGAAAAACAAATATTTTAATAAACACCCCCAATAAACAGTCTAATTGTGTAGCTTGTCTTCCAAACACGTCGCTGGTGTTGTCTGGTCCACTATGTTTGCTATTTAATTGGGCGGCTTTCCGATTTCACAGACTTTTCTTTGGAAATAATTCATTAGGGCTGAGAGAGAGTGACAGACAGTGGAGTACGAGCCTGTTTGCTGGTTTGTAAGTTAAACTCCATCTGTGTGCTGCTTGTGTTTGTCCTTCCCGGCACAGACAGGAGACAGCAGACATAAACCTCCATCTGTCTGTCAGCGGCGCTCCGTCAGACCCACGAGCTGTTTAAAGAGCAGTCTGGAGGCTTTGGGTTCATGTATATATATATATATATATATATATATATAGTACATATACATATCTAAAAATATATTGTTATATTAAATATGACTACAAATGTATGCAGAATAAAAAATAAAAAAAAGAACCCAAAACTTTTAAATACAGTATTGCAGTAATGAGAATCTAATGAGAATTAGGCTACAATTGAGAATAATATATTTATTTATTTTTTGTTTTAGAAAAAAATATTATTATACAAATAATTGTTTCTAAAACAGCCTTCTTTGGTGCCAAAAAAGGGTGAAATGTTGAGCTGTGTGTGTGTGTGTGTGTGTTCTTTTGTTTCTCTTTCTCTTCTGGGAAAGCAACCAAAAATATAAATCCACATCCAGTCAAATACTCGCTAGAATCTCCCCAGATATTAAAGCAAACTGAAGAAGCAAACTGCAGGTGAATCTCACAAAAACATGGACCAGATCATGTTTCAAATCTGAATCTGAAGGGAAAAAAGCAAGAAATTATAATTAGGACTGCTTAGTGACATTCTCATTAATGCAAAGCAAAAAAATAAATATATATATATATATATATATATGGAAAATTATGGATATTTTAGGACCAATAAGATGCTTTGCAATGAGTCCTATTAAATATATTATAAGACTCATTGCAAAGCATCTATTATGCAAAGCATAATTTTCTTCAAGCAAATAAGCAAAAATAAATAAATGAATTAATTAATGTATTTAGTTAGTTAGTTAGTTATTTAGTTAGTTAGTTAGTTAAATACAAATGTATGCATCGGCCTATGCAGTGCAAGTAGCTGTCATAATGCTGAAATTCTTCTCATGCAACCTAAATTTTGCAGTCAGTCAAACATAAACATTTGGGTGAATCTTGAACAACTGTTTGCTGACGAGCTTTAGAGGGTTCAGGTGTTAATTAGCGGGTCAGACTCCTCAAGCCCATCATTTGCGTCCTGTCACACAATAGAAGACCTGCTAATTACTGGATTGTGCGTCGAGCGAGACAGATAAAATACAGCTTTCTGTTGATAAGGCATTCTGTATTTTTGTCTTAAGGCTGCTGATGGAGTAACATTAATAGGAGCTCCTGCGGATGAGCTTCTATGGTCATCATCAGAGCTCAAATGAGGCATTAGAGCCCAACGACGCCTTTGAACTTCTGTGTTCAACAACAGAGTCTTTGTTCAAGTCTCATCAGATCTGACTGACACAAATTCAAAGCACTTTCACAGTCCCAACCCTCTCCAGAACACAGCTCTGCTTTTCTATGCACTCCTCATGATTTGAGGTCACAACAAAGGAAACACCAAAGCTGGAAAATTCACACGGGTAAATGTTCATTCTTGCCCTACATCTGTCCCAGGGCTTTATTTGAGCTTTTAAGCAACAGTCCAATCAAAATGAAATGAATTTACTTACTAACGCTTCCTCCAGTGAAAAAGTGGTCTGGTCTGAATCAGGAGAGAAATCTGCACAGCAGATGCACTTTTTCACTGGAGGAAGCGTTATTATGGGTTATGGAGTTAAAAATGTCTTAATGCTGGATTTGTCTCAGCTTTTGTCTTCTCCAGATGTTAACTGATGGACTGGAGTGCTGTGGATTACTTGTGGATTATTGTGATGTTTTTATCAGCTGTTTGGACTCTCATTCTGACGGCACCCATTCACTTGCAGTGAGACACTGATGCAATTTCTCCAAATCTGACGGAGAAACAAACTCATCCTGATCTCGGATGTCCTGAGCATGTGCATATTTTCAGCACATTTAAATTTTTGGGTGAACTACTCTTTTAAAGCTACAAAACTGATCTAAATCAGAGCGAGTCCATAATAACAGTGTGTGTTTCTCACCGAACATACACTCATTTTCTCTCCTCGAACCGAGCGCGTTGTTCTTTAACCCATCGGAAATTCAGGCCTCGGGCTTCACTAGGAATATTCTAATGTTATACAGGTGAAAATAGGTCCGGCACTACATCATGGTGAAGGGATATGGCTTTTGGCTGATAATATGACAGCTAGAGAAAAGTGAGCGGTTAGGGAGCGATGTCCCGCCAAACGTCCACGAAGGAAGCGTAAATGAGCTCGCTGAAGCGGGGAATGAGGTGATAGATTTTAATCAAGCTAAAGGCGCCCAAGAGACCCGCAGTAAAACTGAACGGCCGCCGCGCTGTTGTGCGACACGCAGAGACAATATACTCATTTAAAGACAAGAGAACAGAACAAAAACACAGAAAACGCTCATAATTCCATTACGGCATAAAACACAACATATGTAACACTCTGTTTATGAAGAGTCATGCATTATAAACATGCACTAGTGATCATACTGAACATTTTCATCTGCTGGATTCCCTGGATTTGAGAGTTGATGAAAAGCTAATAATTAATTCTGTGAAATGTAAAATTAAAATACATGTGATATAGGCATGATATAAGCTGAGATTTGATTAAATCTAGTCTAATGTGCTGTGTTTCAAAGTGAACTGTGGCGCTGTGTTCATTTACACACGAGCAGCCCGTGATCCGACCTGTTTAAGAGATAAATATAAGTACTGTAGCATATAGTGTAACATTATTAGAATTATGATTTTTAACAGAACAATTGTGATTTATAAAAGCAGGTTAATATATTTCTATTTTTGTTGTTGTATTACAGTTTAAACAACAACAACAACAATAATAATAATAATAATAATTAGTCGTAATGATAATAATAATAATATAAAAACAATAATTAATGTCATGATGATAATAATAAAATGTATTATCATTATCATAATTGTAAACAATAACAACACTATTTATTTATCATCATAATTGTAATTAAAAATAAAGATAATAATAATAATACATTTGTAAAATTATTATCATCATCATCATAATTGTAAACAACAACAACAACAACAACAACAACAACAACAATAATAATAATAATAATAATCAATGTCATAATGATAATAATAAAATTTATTATCATTATCGTAATTGTAAACAATAACAACACTATTTATTTATCATCATAATTGTAATTAAAAATAAAGATAATAATAATAATACATTTGTAAAATTATTATTATCATCATCATAATTGTAAATAACAACAACAACAACAACAACAATAATAATAATAATTATTATTATAGATGTTTGAGTTCTCTTTAAAGTCTAGCTGCAAAGTAAAAAATAAAATACTTACTAAAAATATTCAATATTTCATCTATTTACTTCCATAATATGTGATCATTAATCGGCATCAGAAAAAAACCGTGAATGTGCGAATGTGTCATTAAATTAAATATTAATCTCGGGGGAACGTGAAGTGAATATTTCAGGTTTTGGTTGACAAAATAAATGGTGTATCCCTGTGCTGGACGATAAAACAGGCGGACAAAAATCCCTAAGACGCACATTAAAGGAGGGACCCAAGCCATATGTGAGATAGGAAGAAAACACCTAGCAACCACACAGATCACCCTAGCAACCACATAGCAACGCCTTGGCAACCAGCAGAGTGAGTGTTTCATGATTCAGTCATATATTCAGACCGTGCATCTGTAGGCTTCATCTCATCTCATCCGGCGTCTGACACACTCCACTGCACATCTACAGCAGTGGCCCGTGGGCTCCATCCTGATGAACCGGCATCAGACCCCCGTGAGCCTCTGGGGTTTTAGGCTACATCACGACCCAAGAATCCTGCAGAAATAATACGCTTACAAACGCTTTAGCAGATGCAGCGCTCAGATGCTGCTCAGGAGTTCTGCTGCAGTGAAGGATCAGCTTTATCTCCTCCATGTTTCTCCTAAAATTAGAGGAAACATACACACAAATGAGTCCATAAATTATATTATAATTATCGTAATTGTAAATAATAATAAATAATAATTATAATGATCAAAATTGTAAATAATCATCATCATCATAATGATTATTATTATTATTACAATTATCGTAATTGTAATTATTATTATTACTATTAATAACAAAAAATAATAATCGTAAATAATAATATTAATAATAATATTTATAATTAATAGTATAATAATTATTGAACATTATAGGTCATCGTAAAGCAAGATTACACTGTAAATAAAACAAGGATTGGAGTGTTTTACAAGAAAATACCATTTCATTTTTACTACTTCAAAATGTCACATTTAATTCAAATGTGTTCAATGTGTTGTTTCTTTGTAATTATTTGTGAAATTTATTACCAATTTCTTTTGCATATTGAAATATCTGGCATTTGAGACATTGATGAGATCTCAGAAACTCTGGAGGAGAAATATCTTAGAACATTTTATTTTAATTTACTTGTATTTAAATGTTCTTCTTGTAATCTGAATGGCATTGTACTGAATATAATAACCAATAATGCAGCAGCTTCACAGTGTTTGTTCAGCTCTGGCCCAGTCAAACTCATAACTATATGAATATGTGATTTGACACAGTTAATAAGCATCTCTTTCAGAAAAATGCTTAAACCATCCAAATTCATTTGCATTGTAATCATTTTTTCCTCCTGCCAGACGGCGTGTGTGATTACGCACGAATGAATGATAGAGAAAATAAGATCTTCTGGATGACGCATGAGCAATAAAACCACGCAATGAAGTATGTTTAAGCAACTGAAATATGAATCAAGTTACAGTCGCCACTTGCTTTTGTTAAATATGCTCACACATGCATGCAGAGAAACGCTCTTATTTTTACCTCGCTTTGTATAAACATGTTTATTTTCCATGAATAGTAAGCATGGCGGATTGAGCGGCAAATTATTGTTTTTTTCTGCTGTGCGTGCTGAGATTTTTCACATTGCATACTTTCACTCAGGCCCTAACATCCTTTGAGATGTGTTACATTACCACATTTAGAGAAATGTAGCATCGCATCACTGCCTCACTGCAAGTGAATGGGTGCCGTCAGAATGAGAGTCCAAACAGCTGATAAAAACATCACAATAATCCACAAGTAATGCACAGCACTCCAGTCCATCAGTGAACATCTGGAGAAGACAAAAGCAGCTGAAACAATCCAGCATTAAGACCTTTTTAACTAAAATACATAGAGTTCATAATCCATAATAACTCTTCCTCCAGTGAAAAAGTGCATCTGCTGTTGTCTCTCGCATGAAAATCCAGCCACATATTAGTTTAGAGCTGTTTAAACGCTGCTTGATCTGTGCAGATTTCTCTCCTGATTCACACCAGAACACTTTTTCGCTGGAGGAAGCGTTATTATGGATTATTGTGATGGACTGGAGTGCTGTGGATTACTTGTGGATTATTGTGATATTTTTATCAGCTGTTTGGACTCTCATTCTGACGGCACCCATTCACTTGCAGTGAGAGACTGATGCAATTTCTCCAAATCTGATGAAGAAACAAACTCTGGCCTGAGGGTGGGCAGATTTTCAGCAAATGTTCATCTTCAGGTGAACCGTTCCTTTAAGTCTACGGCAGCCCATAGAACAAGCTATGAAATTTGGCACATTTATAGTGCACAGTTATATGAATTTGTGGTTATGGTTTCAAACTTTCTGAACAGTTCGGCTTCTCATCATACTTTCTAACCAAAACTTGGTCTGAGAACAATTTCTGTGTTTCTCAGTTGCACTCATATGCTTGCACACGAATTCGAACATTCTGCTGTCCTCGGGTTTTTTGGATCAAGTTAAAACGCATTTGGAATAATTTCTGCTTGTTTTTGTATTTTATCATCTTGATGCAGCTGACATTGCACAGGGACCAATTCTCTCTATTAACTAGTTGCTTATCAGCATGCCTATATCATTAACATATTGGCTGTTTATTGTTATAAAGCACACATTCCTAATCCCACCCAACATCTAAACTTAACAACTACCTTATAACTATTAATAAGCAGCAAATTAGGAGTATACTGAGGCAAACTCAGTTAATGGCTTGTTAATGGCAAGAATTGGACATTGAAATAAAGTGTGAGCCATTGAACATTCTCCACATTGACTACACACTCACGCAGGTCTCTAGATGATATCTAACTGAAAAACAGCAAAACTGCATTTACCGTCTACTCTTTTTTCCGCACGGAAGGCCTCTGTCACGTCGCATTAGCCGCTGCTTGATGAAGGATTCTGGAACGGGACGAGCGTAACGTCTTTCTGACATATGACTGACATTTCATCACACGAGTAAAAAACAGAAACGAGATTCAGACACATTTAAAAGAGCTAAAGTCGTATTGAAGCCTTTTCTTCAGATGCTATTTGAAGTGACAGCTGCATCTCATTCAGAACATCGCTGTTAAAAGTGTTTGAGATGGACGTTGGGCTGTTGTCTCGGGAATAAACTTCCACGGACTGAGTTTGATCTATTATGACTGCAACAATGCAAGAAGCTTCTTTCCCCAAGATTGTGTGTTTTTATGCTCTACTCCAGGTCTAAATCATCTTGAAAAGCTCTTGTGAAAAGAAAGTTTATTACCCGTGTTTATGGAGCTAAGAAAATTGCCCTCCTGTTTTGCACGACCCAGAATCAGGTTGAATAAGTCTGACCCAACCTCTTTTTATCCCCGCTTAAGAGCTTTTGCTCATTTTTGATGTTTTAGTCAAATTTGCTGCTAGTTTGAATAGAAATGCATGAGGAAGCGCACTCAGGAAATCATTTTATGCACACTGAAATGCATTTTCCTGGTATCCTCAATTCTCTCCCATAGAGTCTTTGTTGTTTGGCGAAATGCATTTGGAAACGCTTCTTTTTTGAATCGCATTTTCATTTATATACATGCATTAATGCAATAAGAAACCTCACAACCTTGATCCGGGTCTGTAAATCCACGACACATCGTGCATCAGGCCTGATTTCTCTTTCTAATCATGCATTCTGAAAGCCGAGCTCATCAGGAACACGCTTTGATGTTGCGTCTTCCAGTAAGACACACGTGGATCATGGTTAATAGGATGCACCTTTGAAAAGCAATGATATGCGTACAGAAACTTCATGCTAGCACTTTATTAGTAAGCCAATTAGAGTTGCTTGCTTGCTGTATAACATGTGATTAGCAATGTCACACATGAACACTAATGCCTGACATGTGCTTCACACCAGTGCTTAGCCAATGCACTGCATCCCTTTGAACATCTTTAACACGTGCTCTTGCCTGCATTTAAACCAGTGCTATAAATATGTGTATAGTATTTAAAATTGTCTATAATTAAAATGTACTTCGATCGTTAAGAATTGCAGTCGACATTCAGAAAGCAGCGATGCACGAAATCAAGTTTAGATACCTAGAAGCATCCAAATTCATATACAGTATATACCGGACAAAAGATTGGAATATTTAAGAAATGTTTATGCTTTTGAAAGAAGTCTCTTCTGCTCACCAAGGCTGCATTAATTTGATAAAAAATACAGTAAAAACAGAACAATACTATAATAGTATATAATAGCTGTTTTCTATGAGAATACATAGTAAAATCTAATTCCTGTAAAGCTGAATTTTCAGCATCATTACGCCAGTCTTCAGTGTTAAAAATAAATAAAATACTTGTATTAATCAAGGACGCATTAAATTGATCAAAAGTGACAGTAAAGACATTTATAATGTTACAAAAGATTTCTATTTCAAATAAACGCTGTTCTTTTGAACTTTCTGTTCATCTGTGAATCCTGAAAAATAAAATGTATCACAGTTTCCACAAAAATATTAATGTTTTCAACATTGATAATAATCAGAAATGTTTCTTGAGCAGCATATTAGAATGATTTCTGAAGATCATGTGACACTGAAGACTGGAGTAATGATGCTGAAAATACAGCTGCACATCACAGAAATAAATTACATCTGAACAGATATTCACACAGAAAACAGATATTTTAAATTGCAAAACTATTTCACAATTTTTCTGTATTTTTGATCAAATAGATGCAGCCTTGTTGAGCAGAAGAGACTTCTTTCAGAAACATTAAAAATCTTAATTGACCAGTAGTGTATTGCATTGGGCCTAATGCAGCAATCCCCAGATTAAACTGCAGCAGTATAGGATGTTTGATTTGCATTTCACTGCAACTTTCTACAGTGAATGTAGTCTTATAAGCATCATAAAACTGTTGTTTGCGATGTGGAGTCAGCGTTTATTTAGCGTTCATGAGGCAACTCCTCTTTGATTTCAGAAGCTCGCCGACAGTAAACATGCCCAGGAACTCATTATGGCGCGAGATTAATGACGCACCGCGGCTGCGCTAATGCCATCTGAGATGCAATCGCTGCTACTTTAAAGAGAGGAAGACCTGATCAAATCAGGCAGTACTCGCAGGCCAAAGGTCTGCTCTTATTTTTTAATAAGAGCAGTATATGTGTGCCCACGCTATTCCAGCTGGAAGACTTTTATTCAAGCTTTAAGACTTTACAGGGTAGAGAAAAAGGCCAGATCTCAGGGATGCATGATGGGGATCTGATAAAGTGCTCTGTAAGTGTACAGGAGCGTCTGAAGGTAAAAGGCCTGGTCTTTGGGGACCGCTTTGTAAAGCCGGTGGTCTCTTGCTGCGTGTCCTTTTGGCCTCTGTAGAAAATCAAATCAAGCAAGCAGCAAATGCCACTGAGACACTAGACGTCTAAAAGTGTCTCGACTCTGACAGCTATTAAATCACTGCAATCCGATGCATCATGAGGCCCTTAAACTCGTAAGACAAGTCATGTTTAAATATGCAGATGATGCATTATCTACCTAAATATGCACTCATTTGCATACATTTCCAGAGCAGAAATCTGTTCAAAATTCTTGTTTGATTTTGTTTCCATATTGAAGTTAAAGGTTTTTACAGAGGAGATTTTGGATTTCTCTTTTTATCACTTCATAAATTAGAAAATACCGTCAAACCTGTGAAAAAAAAAAAAAGTTTTCACATGCTTTTGGGAATAAGCTAGGGATGCACCGATGCCGATACTGGCCCGATACTGCGCTTCTGTACACATTAAAATGTTAAGTAAAGCAGATGCGCGAGCTTGTGGAGCGAATTTCCCTTTCTCACAGACATCACTGGAAAGTTTGCAATTCACAGTGGTTATGATTTCAAACTTTACAGTGGTGAGGGAAACGCTCCCTGTATTGCGTGTAATCACAACAACAAACTTCGTCAGGCGTCTACATTGTCAGCTGAGGAGAATACAAAGATTAAACAAGTGTTTTTGTTTAACTCTGAAACGTGAAATGTGGAGTTATCTGCTTTTGCCAAAAAAAGAACTTTTAATATATTAAAAACATGCTTTCAATGAACTTTAATTTTGTAAGTTACCTATAAACGGAGTTAACTGTGTTTGCAAATGAACTCTTCGTTTTCTTTGAATTTCAGTATGGTTAAATCTTGGAAGACAAAGACAGACTGAGTGATGTCTCAGCATTTTGAATTATAACTGACAGCAACAAACATGCTCGCACACAAGCAATGTTCAAGTGTTCAACTTCACTTTTATTATGGCCAGTCACTATTACTGACGCACGCACGCACACACTCACACACACACACACACACACACACACACAAACACACACACACACGCTCACACGCACACTCACACACACACACACACACACACACACACATGTTGGTTTTTATGGTTTATGAGGACTCTCCATAGGCGTAATGGTTTTTATACTGTTCAAACCGTATATTCTATTGCCCTACACCAACCCTACCCCTAAACCTACCCCTCACAGGAAACTTTGTGCATTTTTAGATTTTCAAAAAAAATCATTCTGAATGATTTATAAGCCTTTTAAATTACGGCGACACTCAAAATGTCCTCATAAATCACCTTCTCGTTGTAATACCTATGTCATTATACAAATTTGTGTCCTCATAGACCACATAAACATGCACACACACACACACACACTCTCTCTCTCACACACACATTATGTTGAAAAGTCAGTGTTAAATCAAATTTAAAAAAAAATAAATTTTTTGTCATAATCCTTATTTCACAATGTTACATCTCACCCCTAACCCAGACTATGGGCTGAATTGTAACATTCCACTCCTCGTGTTTGAAACTAAACCACATGCATTTTCTGTTTGTGCTGCAGAGATAACAGCTACGCCATTTACAGTTGTTTACGATCGCTATGCAATTTTTTCAATACTTTTAACAATTTTCCTAAACTCTTAACACAGTTAGCACAACATCCGTCTGTGTAGGCTATACAATCAACACATTTCTTGTTGCTTTGACACAGAATGCATAGAGTTAACACAAATTTAAAATGCTTGAACTTTGTTTACACACAAGCTCAACCAAGACCAAAACAATGTAATTTTACGGGCAAATTTTTGAATGCTTTCACACTGAATGTCAGAACAGATAACATCATGTTCTAAAACTAACTTATAGGCTAAAGTCAAAGTGAACAGCTGTTCACATTGTGAGTTGAAGCACAAATATGTCCCCTGCATTTTATTTTATTCCATAGCTAATGAGAAACAGCTGATTGAAGTTATGCAAATATATCAATTACAGCTTATTCTCATCTAGGAAACATACTCAGGTGTTGAGGTTCTTTCAGTCGCATGACCATATGATATACAGTAAAATAGGACCTCTTTGGGCTGATATTGTGTGGAAAAGTGCACTCCTGCATAAATGTGAGATTTTAGAAGATCTGTACCAAAGACTGGTTGTTTCTGTCCTTTTCTAATGTCCTGCTGCAAATAAAGCAGTTCTGTCTCTGTCTCTTTTTCCCCCATAAACCGTTCATTCTATAAAGCTACTCTGAGATTTTGGCATTGAATTTCTGCAGCAAAATAAACAAAATACATGCATTTACTAAACCCAAAAAGAAAAAGAAACTGTAGTGTAAAACACAATCTATGATCAATGCAATATACTGTCTATTAAGGTCAGACCTGACACCTAAAATAATGCAGTTTCTGTAATTCCATCTGATGTTAGTGTTTTTATGATATTGTGCTATGATTGACTAAATGTTCCTGTTGGAAGAGAACATGTGTTAGTGTTATGGAATAATAATTTGATTTTGAGACATGCTTGCAGTGTTTTGGTAGATGTAGAGTATTGTGTTAGTGTATTATTGTGATTTGAAAATTAGTGTTGGAGTTTAGTTTGCAATGTGTGATTTTGAGCATGAAATTAACTGTTTTGTCAATTGTGTGTTGTAGGTGTGTTGGTGTGTTAAGAGTTTAGGAAAAGTGTTAGAAGTATTGAAAAAACTGTCATAGCGATCGTAAAAAACTGTAATAGCAGACACTTGTAACTGGTTTGTATCACATTTTGAACGCACTGGCTTAAAAGAACTTTACAACCATCCCCGGTCTCCACTACAGCACGTTTGTTTGTACGGTTTCAGTCTGAAACAGCATTTTTATTTTTGCCTGAACTACTGCTTTAACTATCAGTATTGTCTCTATGTGCAGCAGGACACGGTGACGTGTGTGATCAATCCTCAGAGGAGCGCGTATCGTCTCCTCATCCATCCTCACTGTAAAGTGTGTGTGTGTGTGTGTGTGTGTCTCTGTGTGTGTGTGTGTGTGCTGTAATTAATAGATAATCAGATGAGCTTCACAGTTCTTGAGCTTTACATTCGCCAGATCCCCAGAAGCTTCTGGAACATTCGGCTCGACTCTTTATGATTTATGGACTCAACCTGAGAGTTATTTCATTCCTTTTTTGGGAAGAAATAAATATCTGCAATGCTGCAATTTCATACTTGTCCAGAAGAGTTGAGGAATGTTTGTTTGTCCACCAGTTTGGAGCTGATTAGCATTCGTTTCTTCCCACAATTTTTGCTGAAGCCATTGCATACGTCACACAGACTCATTTGAGTCTGTTTTTATTTTCGCCAAGGAATTTTTAATTCCGTTTAGAGTAACAATTGCTTGTTTACATTTCCTTTTAACCCTATAAAGCATGTTTTAGAGTCTCAAATCTGATCCTCAGGATCTTTTGAGGAGCGTTTGTTTCCAGAAGCTTTACTTTCACTGTTCCTCAGCGGAGGAATGATCTTCACAAGCCTCCAGAACATCTCACATCTTCTGAGGAGCCGTTATTTCTTCAGCTCTCAATCACTGCATTATATGTTTGGAGCATTTCAATCTCATCTTATTACTGGAGATATAGAGAGACCACTGATATGTATAGCATTTTATATAATTATCTGCTACACAATGATCTCACAAGCATCAGAATTTCATCCCTTTTTTTGGCTATATAAAAACCAGCATCTGCAACAAATTGCATATATATTGAACTGTTAATGCAGGCCTTACAGAGCTAAGAAGGTTAAATTTTAACATTTAATGATCACAACATTACTGAGAGCTTCTCATTGGCTTCAGTGAGATCTGGTTCCTTCTTGATCTTTAATTAAAGAGACCAAAACAAGCCATTTTCAAGGTCTGAGTCTGAAAATCCATGAAAATCACTACCCCACAAAACTGACAACCACAACATAATGATGTCCTTGGGTGTCCAAATATCTTTACAAGAGACAAACAGCGTGAAACTGGGTGTTTGTGTTTGTTGTAAAGCTGAATCCTGAGAGCTCAGTCACGCGTCCAGGTCTTACAGTACTTTAGCCCGAAAACGAAAAATTGCATAAAAATGACTCATTACAGAAATGAGTATTTCTTTTTTCCCTGAATAATAATGTCACAGTGGAAAAACAGGCTTTTTTTCTTATAAATCTGAGGTGAAATGTGACCCTGACATGTCTTTCTGAAATTCACTCTTAAATACTATTAGTTTATATCTCACTTGTGTTTCTGCTCCTCACATTATTTGTTGTCGTCTCCTGTATGTAGTTTTAGTGCCGCTGGATCCGTGCCGAATCACATCTGCGTCTGAGGGATCAGCTGCTCCGTCTGTACAGAAATACACAAACATCATCACAAATGAAGCTCATTAAAGCAAAACATGTTTATGAATCACATTATTCCTTCCCTGCATTCTTCGCTTGCAACACCAAGGTCATGGGTTTGAATCTCAGGAAATGAATGAACTGATAAAATATATATCTTGAGTGCAATGCAAGTCGATTTGGATAAAAGCTTCTACCTAATGAGTAAATGTAAATGTATTATTCAACCCAGCTGACAGAGAACATCCACAGAACGCTCTCTTAAAGTTCTATACAAACGTTCGTCCAGTAATGCTAATAGAGCGTTCATTCAGAGTCTTTAATAACATTCTAAAAATGTTAGACATCATTCAATGTTCTTCTGAAACATTTCAGTTGGATGTTTGTCTAACGTTTTTTTAAATGTTACTTTCAGATTCTTCAGAGAATATTCAAAAGTAACATCAAAAGTAATGTTTGCAAAATGATACAATGGAACGTTCTGTTAACGTTTAAACATGTAACATTTAAAAAACTGGGCATTTTGAACATCCAGGAGTAACGTTTTCATAACTTTAGAACATTCATGAAATGTTCTTACTAGCTTTCAATTGAAACAAGCCTCTGTGAGAAATATCTGCATTGCTGGACTTTCACTCGAGTGGATTGTGAATTATGTGATCATCAGAAAAGACAAGAAATGCAGAAAAATGCATTTTAATTTTGTTTAACATCTTCTTTAAAATAGCGTGCACTGACGCAGGACGTGTTTCTGAATGTCGTGTTTTTTTTAGAGTAATGTCTCTCTCAGGGAGCCGAGCGGCTGAGAACGCATTACATGCACCATGTACTTTCCAGATGTTTCTGTACGGAGTAATGCTTCTGTAGCTGTGACAACGTCTTCATTCACAGACAATCTGTGACATTCAGATGCGCTTCTAATCATATCTGTTCAATTCACTGAAAAACATCAGATTCTGTTCAGAGTATGAGTGTGTAGATTGGAGATGATTAATAAAATCATCATTCTGTCCAGCATTACAGCCTATACGCCTATATATATATATGTGTGTGTGTGTGCCGCTGTCTATGATCTCATAAGTAATAATCAGCAATAATGCAGAGGAAAAAGAGAAAAACCCATAACTATGATTGTTGTAAACTTTCGGATACTGAAAGTACTTTTTTTCCCTTTTTTTTTTACTTGTAATTGTCTTTTTCACCCTTTATTACTTTGTATTTGCTTGTATGTTTTGAAGATATATTGGTTAAATTCTTAACAGTTCTTTTGATTTATTATTCACTTGTAATTATTTTAAAAAGTAGACTGCTTATATAATTTAATAAAAATGCACAAAATAAATTTGATATAAAATGTATATGAAAATTGAGGATGCAAAGCATCGAATTGAATCGAGTCATTGACATGATAATCAAATCGAATCATAAAACCAGTGAAGATTCACACCCCTACTGTATATTACATATTGCAACATTAATATTTTTTTTGAAACATTGTAAAGTGAGATTGCTATTATAAATGTGTTCACACATATTATACACAACATATTTTTTAAATGTGACATATGTGAATGTATTTTTGGATTGAAATATATGGAGGGCAAAGTATATTTTTTAATACTTTCAGAAAATATTATATTATTTTTCTTACAAATATATAAAAGGACAAAAATACACTGGTAGAAAGCATATGTAAATATATTAAGATTCTTTATTTATTTATTTATTTATTTTTTTATAAAATAGTTAATTCTGAAATATATTTAAAAATCTATTTTTTGCCATATGGGAGTGATGATCAAAACACAAGCCTGTTTATATACCAATAAAAAAAGGAGGGTTGTACAAGATCCCTATAAACAGCAACTGTGGCATAATATTCAGCAGCACAACTGTTTTCAACATTGATAATAATCAGAAATGTTTCTTGAGCAGCAAATCAGCATATTATACTGATTTCTGAAGATCATGTGACACTGAAGACTGGAGTAATGATGCTGAAAATACAGCTGCGCATCACAGAAATAAATTACAGTTTAACAGATATTCACATAGAAAACAGCTGTTTTAAATCATAATAATATTTCACTATTTTTACTTTATTCATGATCATTCAAATGAAATCTTGGTGAGCAGAAACAATCTTTCTTTCAGAAACAATACAAAACTCTTTCCGACCCCAAACTGTTGAACTCTGGTGTAATTATCAACACTAGATTCCTTGAAGAGTAAGCTCATAAAATCTAATATCTGTAACAAATGCAATCCCATAATTCCACATTTCATATAGAAACATAAAACATCGGGGATCCTTTGAGCTTCTTTCTGTTCGTGGTTTTATGAGTTCTGAACATCCAGACGCTGTAATATACTGTCCTAATATCTGTCTCAGACTGTCACCGTCCCAACAACCAGCAACAGAAAGTAAACAGCACGTCAATCAATGCTTACTTTCTAGGGATTTATAGCAGATATCGTCCCGTCAGTCAAAACTCAGCTACTCCTGTGATGTGAAAAATAATCCGAATGAGTTAGATTCAGTGTTCAGGGCTCAAAAACTTCAGACAAGATAGTTCTGCTCCTAAAGCTAGTGAGCCGTCTCGCTGTCTACATAGACAGCATACTACAGACCAGTGTTAATTTCGTTGATGACTAATTTTCGTCATAATTTTCGTCAACGACATTTTTTTCACTGACGACAACGAGACGATAACGAACTAAAGCTCTTTTTGAATGACAAAAACTATGACGTAAATCTATTGACATTTTCGTCAACGAATAAAAACGAGACGAAAATGTTAGGGAGGGACGATTTGGGAAGAGATTCATTTGCGTGGTTCGAAGGTTAGATGCGTACATATGAACCGACGGGACATAAGCTAACATACACTTGCTGCACGTCGCATAAAACGTTCAAAAATGTCGATATGTGGGAGTAAGAGAAGAGCAGACATATGGATAAATCTGACGACGCATTCGGTCCGGTTTTCTGAAGCAGACACTGAAGCACACACACAGAAAGCGCCTCTCACAGCGCGCGAGTACTCTCTCGCGTCACATGAACAGAGAATTACACACAAAATGATGTCGAATTGTCCGTTTTGACGAGTATTCACGTAAACACAGTTGATTATGTCTTAAGTGAACGTAAACAGCAGCGAGAACGTGTATCAGTACATTGCATCCATTGCAGCGGTGAATTCGGTTTTAAAGGGACAGCAGCCTAATTTAGTTGCTATTGAGTCATTGATATTAATCAAGCAACAACAGAAAGACAGAAAATCACGCACTGCTCTTGACTGAAACACTTTAGTAGCCCTAAAGATTAATACACATTTATTTATAGAAATAAAAGAGAGAACTCAATTCGGTCCGGTTTTCTGAGCGCAGACAATAAAGCATCCGCACACAGAAAGCGCGTCTCACAGCGCGCGAGTACTCTTTCGCGTCGCATGAACGGAGAATTACACACAAAATGATGTTGAATTGTCAGTTTTGACGAGTATTCACGTAAACACAGTTAATTACGTCTGAAGTAAACGTAAACAGCAGGGAGAATGTGTATCAGTACATTGCATTCGGTTTTAAAGGGATAGCAGCCTAATTTAGTTGCTATTGTCCGAGTCATTGATGTTAATCAAGCAACAACAGAAAGACAGAAAATCACACACTGCTCTTGACTGAAAAACTTTAGTAGCCCTAAAGATTAATACACATTTATTTATAGAAATAAATATGTCTGCTTGAAAGAATGAAGAATATGGTAAACAAGTTGCTATAAAGAATGCATAATTAGCTTATATAACCATTGGTATTTCATTAAAAAGAAGACCATGTTCTTGTTCTTTATAAGAAGTGGTTTTATTTCATTTTAACATAAAGGCATGTTATTGTAGTGAAGGAATGTGGTAAAAAAGTAAAGGCATTTACACTTGCTGATCAAACTAAGTAATAAATATCAAGTTAGTTTCATGTGTCAATTTCATTTAATATATTCTAGAATGATTACTAATCTTACTTAGAACATCGTTATATTTTGTACTGCAAGCATCCTAAATATTACAATTCTCAACATGCATTTAATCTTCTATTTCAACTTAAAAGACTCGGTTTCCAACATTTCTTGATGTAAACTGAACTGAAACAGCTAACAAAAACGTGTTCTAAGAATGTTTTGGTAATGTTCCCATCAAGTTATGAAAACATTATTTCTGAGTGTTCTTTAATTGTTCTTTCTTGGTTATGCGAGCGAACGTTATGGAAACGTTCCATTGTATCATTTTGCAAACATTATGTGAACGTTACTTTTGAGTGTTCTCTGAATGTTCTGAAACAAGTCGCAACATTTAAAAAATGTTAGACGAACATTCAAATGGAAGAAAAAAAAATGTTCCATGAGCGATGTTTTTGTGCTAGTGTTTTGAGAACGTTATTAAAAACCAGATAACTTTGAATGAATGTTTTATTAACATTACTGGAGGAATGTTCTGATAACTCTCCCTGATAACTGCATATTATAGAAGGCAGTCAAAACAAGCTTGAAATTCATTTCATAATGAGTGTTTAAGAACATCACAATATTAAAACAACGCTTCTAACACATAAAACACACTTCTAATAAATGCATAATAAATAGCCCTGGTCATGTGACACACAAGAGACTGAGAAAACAACACAGCACACTAACAAACATGAAAGCAGCACACTAAAGGCTGACAAAATACTCTGTTTTTAAATTAGACTGCACATTTTATCAATACATCTCAGAATGAATTATACACACCTCTATATAATCAACATTTCTCCCATCTTCAATGGATTTTTTTTTTCTTTTTCTTGAGAACTTGTGCAATGCATTCTGGGATTGTCCTCTCTGTAAAAGAATAATGAATGTGAGTAAAGCTGACTTACAGCATCTGAGAGACAGAATAACGTTATAAATGAGCCGCTTTAAAGGAGCTTCACAAAGTACTTAACATAATAAACAATCACAAACTATTAAAAAATGTGAATAACAAATATATATATATATATAATCACAACCAGACTAAAGCCAAGCTTCGGGTTTTAGGTAAAATTCAATGTTGCCAAATAAAATAAAATAATACAATAATATTTAATAAAATAAACTGAAAATTTTAAAAAATAAAATAAACTGAAAATTTTATAAAATACCAAATAATATTAAAAAACAATAAAATATTTTTTGTAAAATAAACAAAAATATTTTTAAATAATGAATTATTAGATATTATGTTATATAATACACAATGCAATATAATATGATAAATAAAATTATATTTTATAATAAAATAAAAATAACATTAAGCAATATATACATTATATTATATTCTTATTAATGTTTCTTTGTTTAAAAGTTTTACAGGCTTTTATTTATTTATTTATTTATTTATTTTGTCTGTTTATTTTATTGAACAGATTTCAGGTTTGCATGAGCGAAAGAGATGCAAACAACTGCATCATACAGGTTTGTGTTGTTGTTCTAAACTAAAATCAGGACATGAGAAGGAGATAAAGTCATCAGATGTAGGTTTAGATGCAGGTGTTCGCGACTGCTGCACATGCACACACACTCCGGCCACGAGTTTTCATTCAGTGAAAGAACATTTTCAATTTTACAGTAATTGTCATATTATAAAGAGTATTAAGTAATTAATGTGGCACATAATCTCCTACAATCACGTCCAGCATAGGATAATAGCTCGTCTGTATCAGTGCCGTCAAAGCGTCTGCTGCAACAAGCGCAGCACTGCATTACTGCAGCGTACAGTGACAGAGACTGGAAAAAACATCTATTTATGGGTCCTTTACCATAGTACGTTTACTTTTAGATCACAGAATGAACGACATACAAGTATAAACAATCCAGACAGGTTTTCAAAGGTTGCTCGTTCATATTTCATATTTTAAAATAAAATAAAAATAGACATTCAAAATAGAATGCATGCATACAGAAATAAATTAGGTAAATAAAATGAAATATAAAAATAAAAATAGACATGCGAAACAGAATGCATGCATGCATAAATGGAGTAAATAAAATAACAATAGACATGAAAAATAGAATGCCTGCATATGTGTGCAGAAATAAATGGAGTAAATAAAATAAAATAAAAATAAAAAATAGAATGCATGCATATGTGTGCAGAAATAAATGGGGTAAATAAAATTAAAAAATAGAATGCATGCATGCATATGTGTGCAGAAATAAATGGAGTAAATGAAATCAAATAAAAATAAAAATAGAATGCATGCATATGTGTGCAGAAATAAATGGAGTAAATAAAATAAAATAAAAATAAAAAATAGAATGCATGCATGCATATGTGTGCAGAAATAAATGGAGTAAATAAAATAAAATAAAAATAAAAAATAGAATGCATGCATGCATATGTGTGCAGAAATAAATGGAGTAAATAAAATAAAATAAAAATAAAAAATAGAATGCATGCATGCATATGTGTGCAGAAATAAATGGAGTAAATAAAATAAAATAAAAATAAAAAATAGAATGCATGCATGCATATGTGTGCAGAAATAAATGGAGTAAATAAAATAAAATAAAAATAAAAAATAGAATGCATGCATGCATATGTGTGCAGAAATAAATGGAGTAAATGAAATGAAATAAAAATAAAAATAGAATGCATGCATATGTGTGCAGAAATAAATGGAGTAAATAAAATAAAAATAAAAGAATGCATGCAATAGAATGCATGCATGCATATGTGTGCAGAAATAAATGG